CTTGTGCATATGTCTCATATGTTGTGATAAGCTAACCGATTTATCCCAACCACCGGCTGCACAGAGATTACAATAGTATTTATTATCTTTACTATCTAGTGCCTTGTTATTATCAGTTAAACCTGTCTCCTTCATTCCTACAACCATTGTTGTTGTGTTCTGAGTACATCTCTTATCTTCATCATCGCCACTTTCTATATCGCATTCAGAGTCACTTTTTCTTAACTTACTTTTAGGTATTACTGAGCTAGAATATCGGTGCTTCTTGACATTCTTGCTCGTTTGATGTTGTAATACACTGTCTACGATTTCGTCAGTCTCCGATTCCTCATCAATGACTGCTATCATCGTAGATTCTTTATCTTTTATCTTTGTGACCCGTTTTCTCTTAGGATCGATGACATTATTCGAAGATATTTGAGTATTATTATTTGCACTTGTACTAGAACTAGTCGTGGTAGAAGTTTGTTTACGACAACGAGATTTAGTATAATGTGTAATCACTGATCGCCAGCTGGGCCATAATTTCTTACACACTCCACATTTATACTCCAAGTTTTGAACATTATGGCTTCGAAGATGTTGTTCAATGTTTGCCATATTTACTCCTAATAAGTCGTTACATTCTGGACAAGTACTATTAGCATCCAACGGATAGTACAAGCAGTAAGACTTTTCTTGACTCTGCTGATTCGATGTTTCAGCACTATTCTCCCTATTTCCCCTTCTCTCTTGCTTGTCACCAGCGTTATTTACCTGTGACGTAGAATTTTTGTTTCTTTTTGTAGCAAGAGAGTATTACAACTACATATAGGTTGCTAGCCTTTTGTGCAGAGGGATGAGTCTATTTGCTAGGCTACTAACCTCCATGCCGAGTACTGCTCGAGCCACATCAAATAGCAGAACTAACATACTAGAACTTCATTATGATGCCTATCCTACTGTTTAACCAACTCCTTTTTGAATAGGCGCGCAAGATCAAATGCGGTGTATTACTGCCACAGGTAATCCAACGAATCTTATCAAACAATTGCTAGTCAAACCTCAGACAAACTATACATAACTACCGAACATCATATGAAAGCCCACTACTAGTCTATAACCTCACAGACATCGACACACAAGTTTTCACCCCCCAGGGCTACGTGCTAAACAGATCAACGTGACGTTGACCCCGCGTCGCGGACGATATCTCATCTAAGTCCCGAGACTCTAACCGTAACTACAACACCCAGAAGAGAGTCATAGTTACTCCCGCCGTTTACCCGCGCTTATTTGAATTTCTTCACGTTAACATTCAGAGCACTGGGCAGAAATCACTTTGCGTCAACACCAAGTTTTCCGGCCAATCGCAAAGCTCTGTTTTAATTAGACAGTCGGATTCCCCTAGACGCAGCGAGTTCTAAGTTTGCTATTAAACGATGTCCGAAGTAATACGATCCGCAAGCGAACCGCATACCGTAGCAAAACGATTCCACAGCAAGACAAGCCACTAGTCCGAACGATCAGACACATTGCTGTATCCGAAAGCTCAGCTCCAGTAGCAAGTCTACTGCTTTATCATCAAGCCCGAACACCCTAGCACTTAGAGCCAATCGTTATCCCGAAGTTGCCGATCGATTTTGCCGACTTCCCTTGTGCTACCTTGTTCTAATTGACTAGAGGCTTTTCACCTTGGAGACCTGATGCGGTTTAGAGTACAGATAAGTGCGAAATTGATTATCTCGCTCAAATTTTCAAGGATCACAAATGATGCACCGAGGAAGTAGCAAGAACGGCTACTCTTTACCTTCATTTGAACCCTATCTCCAGTTGAACTGATTCCAGGGTCGTCTGATGAAGTAACAAAGAAGAGAAAACTCTTTCCAGGACCACTTGTGATGTATTTGAGCTTGTTTGTGTTACCACATATGTTTGACATGAAATCAAACAATCTCCGACACTTAGTACAAGAATATTAACTTGTTTCCCTTTCGATTTGATGGAATATAAATATGAATGAATATAAATATTCCTCGTTCGGAACCCTCTTTCGAGCGCATCTTAGGACTGACTGACCCATGTCCAATAGCTGTTCACATGGAACCTTTCTCCACGTCAGTCTTCAAAGTTCTCATTTGAATAGTTGCTACTACCACTAAGATCTGTACATATGACTAGTCGATTCGGCAGGTGAGTTGTTACACACTCCTTAACGGATTCCGACTTCCATGGCCACCGTCCTGCTGTCTATATCGACCAACACCTTTTATGGTATCTGATGAGCGAGACCATCTGGCTCTTTATCTTGACGTTTTGTGCATCCAACAGCGCCAGTTCTGCTTACCAAAAATGGCCCACTTGGCACTCACATTCGCTGTTCATTCTCAATGAAGTAGAAAAATGAACTTCATACCCATTTAAAGTTTGTCAATAGGTTGAGCGTATTTTACGCCCAATGCCTCTAAACATTCGCTTTACCGGATATAACTGTGAAAATTGAATGCCAGCTATCCTGAGGGAAACTTCGGACGGAACCATCTATTTACGTTTATCGTCAATTTTTAAGAAACTGATAAACCATACATAAAAACAGAAGAAATAGATAAAACAAAGCAGGTGCACTGTTTTATGGCAAGAACAATGTATACTACCTAACAACATTATCAAAAACAGAAACAAGAAAAGATTTACATAAGAACGACTATTACAACCACAGATGAAACTGATATTCGCAACAGGAAGGAAAAAGGAAGACATGATCAAGGATTAGTCATTCGTCCTGTACTCCGCCTGTTGAGCATTATTTATCGTCGACTGACTAGTCGATGATCATTCATTAGGAAATATCAGTATTTATCCATTAGACAACCGAATTAGAAATCGTGTTCTGAATGTTTTAATATACTCCATTCGCCATTATGACAGACTGTTGACCTGAATGTCTTGTAAATTCGAATTGAGTCTCGTAAACATTTTATTGCTACTTTATTTAAGCCGCGGTCAATGAAGCCCACCTCTTTCCAGTCATGAATATGTTTATGAAAGAGTGAGCCCATCGCTCCTACTATTAGACCGCGTACAATAGCAGCATTACAGCTGTGTCGTTCCATAACGACTCCAAATATGGGTTGATATTGGTCTACACGAACTTGGTATGCATCAATGAAGAATGCATCAGTTCGTTCGTATATGACCGTGATGTCTAGCATTGTAGCTACCTTATCTTTGACTGCTACAATATCTAGGCTTAGATTCTTTGTTATAGAATCTTTCATTGAATAGAATACTTTTTGAGAGACCTCGTACCCTTTTTCTCTACGTTTATTTGACACCATATTACATATATTATGATGTCTCGTATATCTCATGCCCTTGGTCTTTCCACATATTTGTAGTACGTGCATTAGACTTTCCTCTGCTGTTTTGCAAAGCCTACATTCTTTGTTAATATTCTGGCCCCAACTATAAGTAACTTTAGTTTCTAAGGTATTAGTTCTTAGCTTAATACCTTTTACATATATTTTACCATCTATATATTTTTCGGTCCCATATATCCACGTGTTAGATTTCGAGTATGTGAAGAATATTTCAAATCCAATTTCATGGATTTTCTTCGAGAATGTAATTCTTCGTTCTCTCTCCATTTCATTCCGTCTTGATTTGATATCATTATTTTTTTGAGTATCATCAAATTTCAAAGTATGAACCAATCGTTCATGCATGTAGGATCACATCTGTTCACATAAATGTTTCAGGAATAGATCTTTCGATAGTTTAATATTCCTGACTAGCTTTATTTTGGCTACTCCTACAATATCATGCAGATTAATTAGCTATAGGCCACCATCCTTTACAGCTAAGTAAAAGAATTCATTACTAAGTGATGTAGGTAGGTGCAGGATTTTCCTGACTACTTGTCTTACGCACCTGTCTGCCTTCTCTAGAAGTTTAGGAAATAGTTCCGTTTAAGTGAGAACATATAAAAATCTAGGTATTATTTATGTTCTTACAAGATCTATTTTGTATTGTGGTTTAATACGATTTTTTTCTATTTTTTCCACAGTATCTTTAATATACATCCATACATAATTATCATTAACAGCTCCCATTAACGAGAATTTCATGCCGAAATATATTGTAAGATTATTCATATGGCTCAACGTAAGTATTAACGTGTTTTCTACTCTAAAACACGGCTCCATCTATTTTACTCTTTTTTCCTTTATATCCTTTTGCTAATCCAACCGTGATACATTTCTTTGGATTGATTAACAATCCTCCAGCCTTTATAAAAGCAACTGTTGTTTCTTGTAATTGTTCCATGCCAACTTCTGATCCCGACACAAGTACAAGGTCATCTGCAAAGCATTTGGCATTGGTGCTTAGTCCATTATCAAGACAATGACCATATGTATCGCCAGTGATGTCAAACAGTTCATCGACAACTAGATTAAATAGCAAGCTAGATAGAGGGTCACCCTGTTTGACACCTCTCAATATTTTTATTTTCTTAGAGCTTACATTTGTATATGATATATATAAATATTATGGCATTGATCAGCAATTAATTTTAGTAGTTTTTCTGGTGCACCACATCTTTTACGTGATCTTATTACAGAATCATGTGGCACACTATCAAACGCTTTAGATACATCTAGAAGTACATCATATAGATTGTTTCTATGCTTTCTAGCATGTTTAAGAAGGTGGTTCAATCACGTACTGTTATATCCACATCCGTTTATCGATTTGAGCCTACTTGCTTATCACTCATACGTAGAACCTGATCCATTCCAGTACCTATAATCTTATTACATAAACGAAGTACTGTAGAGGCTCTCGTAATAGGTTGCCAATTTCCTATGTCTTCTAGATTTTTATCCATTTTGAGAATAAGAACTGTTCTATAAAGCTTTAGTGCTTCAAGGATTCTATTCCCCAATAGCCATATATTGAATGCTATGCATGTTTCTATTTTATATATTTTCTTAATTTCATTTATAGTGATTTTATCAGGTCCACATGCTCTCTTTTCCTTTGTTGTTTTGGAAGCTATTTCTATACTCTTTTGTGTAATAGGTGTAAACAGGTTCCGACAATCAATTTCTTTTGTTCTTATTAAATACCTCTTTGTTATGACTTACTATCCCCCATATTTTCTCATA